AAAACTCAGCCTCCGTCTGCTTGAAAAGAAAATCTCATCCTCAAATACAGAATATTTCGTGAGCAAAGCAATATATCGAGACATGAGCATGATATTGACAGTATGTCTGTAACACTTATCTATTAATAATCATTTCAAATCTTCCATTTCTAGATGCCGTATCGTGCATGTCACTCAGTCGTATCCTTGGACAAGGTAATGATTTCACTTGTCCCGCTGTGATATGACTGAAACAGCTGTTGGCTGTGATGAGAAACGACCATTAAGCACCATTTACCCTTACTTCGGAAAAACTACAACATAAACATACTTGTATTGTCAAAAGACATGAATTATATATCAACATCATTACAAGTTGTGCCATGAATGAGAACAAAAGAGAAGGTACTGTGTCCACAGTTTTGATGATGGGGTCAGTTGTTCAGTATTCGATCAACCAACAAGACTGATATAAGTTCATGAAACTCTGATCTGTCTTGACTTGGCTACAGATGCTGCATTGAATGACTAATGATGCCGTAATAGAGGACTACTGATGCCGAACTGAAGGACCAATGATGCCGCATTGACAGGACTAAAGATGCCGCGTTGACTGGGCTAAGAGCTAATGGTGCCACACTGACAGGGCTACAGATGCTGCCACCTCCAAACGGCTCGACATCTTGAATGCAACAATGTTATCCTTGTCGGAGGTTGACACAAACACGTACGATTGCCCTGTATATGGACCAAACCTGAACTACCATGATGTGAGAAAGCCACCCACATCATAACGCTACCCCCACCGAATCTGTTTACTTCCTGTATACGCAGTTTCCGGCGTAACGTTCTCCCCGGCGTCTGTTGACCCGTGCTCTTCCATCCCTTCGATCAGAGACCATAATAGGTCTATTATATGGTCTCTGCTTCGATGGAGGAGAAATCTTGTTTCGTCGCTGAACCAGACATCTCACCAACGCAGTTGAGGCAATACCATGTGTTGACGACACCAATGCAGTCGTTGTTGACGATGTTGTCGACTCGATATGACGCGTCGAACAGGACGTTCGTATACCTGCTGCTCTTAAACGGTTTCGTAGGGTCCGGTCGGAGATTTTGCGCTGTCCGTGTATTTGCGATGCGGTTGAGGTGGCTGTGGTCGCCCTTTCACGTAGGTGGCGCAGTCGGATGTAGCGATCTTGGGCGGGGTTGGTTACTCTTGGTCGTCCCGACCTTGGCCGATCACGTGTTGACCCATGCTGTTGAAACGGATCCCATAGCCGTGCTAGTATCCAAGGTATTTTTATGTTGGTAAAATACGGTAATTGTTGTTGATTACCAGGATGGCAATTCGAGTACTTCTTCGACCTAATTACGGTAATCCCCTCGTTTCTGGTGCTGACGCTCGGGGACGAGCGAGAGGTACAATGTAAGTACCCGAGGGCCTTGGATTTATTACCGTAGTTACTCCAACAACTACAAAGAGTGATCTTCGTTCAACAGCTTTTATTCACTCTAGTGTTGTTGGTCAACCCACTCTATGGTCACTTGATAATTACGGGACTTCGGCCGCAAGGCTTCAATCCCTAGTCAAAATACTGGAGGTTTGTATGTTTCTTTTCGAATATTAGAACGCGACCACAGTGTTCAAGTGGGATCCTCCAGCCGTCCCGAACCTCCCGTTTCCTTGTCTTTTTACTCCCGACTTCCGTCATGGCCTTACTCATTTTTTCCATTGTCATTGGCCATCCACCTATCTCCCCTGACATTAGGTCGTCCTAGCCCACTCTTGTCTAATCTCTAGGTTCTTTTTAGGACGTGTGGTAATGTGACCGTCTTGACTTCCAGAGTCTGTACTGTCACCCCCCAAACCATATATGAATCCGAGGGCAATTTCCCCTACGTTTCCTCTCCCAATCTATTTTGTCTTTGGCAACCTGTATGTTCCCTTGTTATGTTACCTTTATTGTTTTGCTCTATCACCCCGACCCTCGACCTAGTACTGTCACCCCTGGTTAACAGTGACCCAGTATGTTTCCTGTGTTCCTCAATTCCTACATCGCCTGCCCTTCCTATATCTTCCCATGTGTTATACCTATTTCTTACTCTGTTAGCCCCTCATCTTGTTTATTTATATAATAACTATGAGTGTCTTAATGACTTGTTAATTACTATTATTTTATCTATTATTTTATGCCTATAATACTAGGCGCTACATTGAAAACCCTGGCTACAGCTGATCGGGATGCCTGCCTGCAAGCGGTCTATGGCGTTGTTTCTTTGCACTTCTGATAATCTTGGCATGTTGTTGAACTGTCACTGTTCGATAGACCCAGATGCCAGGCAATCAAAAGTGCGTGCAGCTCCATGGCCCTTTTGTTAATGCACTGGGTGCGTTTTTTTCGAATCGTACGTGTTTCCCGACTTATGGCTTGCATGACCTTCTTGTGATCATTTTGATCAAGGAAATCTGTCACTGACACAATAACACATTAAACCTCTTCATTTTGCACCTCTTGGTTCGCTAATTTTGCTTTTATTGCTAAAAATATCCGTATTGCGTTTCTTATTTTGATGAGTATATTTTGTGTTAATTTGCAGTGCGTTAACTATGCTTTCTATATGCAGTATTATTCACTTGTAAATGAATGGAGTCAGTTGATTTCGAAGGCCCAAAGGTATCACACGTGCACATGCCAATGGATGGTATACACTCAACATTAATCCTGACCCAAATGTCGTTATATTGAGGGAACAAGTAATATATCAACAGATAAGTTGATCATATCTGCTTTCATATACTATAGATCAAAGGACACAAGTATCATACTTGTCCACTTCATTGCATTATTTTGATGAGTGGCTGCAAGTTAAATGACCCGGCATACACATATACATTATCTACACTGGCCTCCACAGGAGATGTCGCTTGGGTGAAATGTACAGATTACATGATACTAAGAGCATATGAGTCAAACTGATTTTAGGAAACGAGTGTCAGAATTCTTGTATTTCCCGAGCGAGAGCGATGGTAATACATGACTCCTTACACGAGATTCGTAAAGTCAGTAAGAGGCACATGCGAGTGTTATAATTTCCTTATTACCCACCCGCGAAGATCCGGGTGAGAATAGGTCTTCAGCAACCCATGCTTACCGTAAAAGGCGGCTTTGCTTGTCGTAAGGGGCGACTAACGGGATCGGGTGGTCTTGGTCGCTGACTTGGTTGATGCATATAATCGTATCTCGATTGCGTGGATCGATGCTCATGCTATCAATCACTGCATTGTCTGGTCCAGACTCGATTATTTACATATCGCCGTCATATAGCTGGAATATTGCTGAGTGTGGACTAAACAACAAACAAATCTTTATTACCCAGTATTTCTTGGTTCTTTCAGATCCACTTTAGAAAAATCAGAGACCATATATCGGTATATGATCCCTGGAAAAATGCACTGATCACGACCGCAATCTCAGAACACCACGAACCCGTGAAGATCCGGGTGAGAATAGGTCTTCAGCAACCCATGCTTGCCGTAAAAGGCGACTGTGCTTGTCGTAAAAGGCGACTAACGGGATCGGGTGGTCAGGCTCGCTGACTTGTTTGATTCATGTAATCGATCCCAATTGCGTGGATCGATGCTCATGATATTAATCACTGGAGTGTCTGGTCCAGACTCGATTATTTACAGACCGCCGTCATATAGCTGGAATATTGCTGAGTGCGGCGTAAAACAACAAATCAACCAACCAATCAGAACACCACAATTGTCGAAAAAAATCAACAGTCTTAAGCTATGACTTTCTAGTCTTTCTAGTGTGACGTCATTCCGACCTTACGTCACACTAACATTTGAATGACATCGACAATGGCATCTGGAGGTCCTAAACAAAACACTGATTAGCGTATGGGGGGTATTTTCACTGGAGCACATACAATTTTTATGAACTCAGTAATTCCTACTGTACTAAATTTCTAGCCCTATACAAGCAATACGAGCACCTTGGAGTGAAATTGCATCATAATGCTTTGCCTACCATTGTGACGTCATTAGTTACCACTGCGACACAATGAAATGACATCACTAATTTCTCTGCTACTGAAGCCGGCTCGTTGTACTTTTCACACGCAACATTTGACGATAGAGGAGAACAAAAAGACACGCGGTTGAGATTCGCTATGTATGCATTCATAGTTCATACTTCATTCGCCACACATGATTTCTTTCGTATATATTGTTTTTTTCGGAAAGGGCCCTAAGCCATACACAACAGCCTGTTTGAGACAGGATATATTTATTGGTCTGGCTCCCAGACATACAATTTCACTAAAATGTAAGAGTGAGTGAGTGAGTATGGTTTTACGCCGCTTTTAGCAATATTCCAGCAATATTACGGCGGGGAACACCAGAAATGGGCTTCACACATTGTACCCATGTCGGGAATCGAACCCGGGTCTTCGGCGTGACGCACTAAAATGTAAGAGCAAAACAATTTGAGTGTGGTGCGTGTGTATGTGCGTGTGGTTTGTGTGTTTGTGTATGATGTGTGTGTGGTGTTTGTTTGTGTTTATTTGTGTGTGTGTGTGCGTGCGTGCGTGCGTGCGTGCGTGCGATATCAAACACATTAGGCTCCAGGGATGGAAATGTACAAAGAATACTAATATCCATCCCCTTCTGTCTCAAAACGAAAAGTTACCAAGTTTCAGTACATTCCGGAGATCTATATAAGTCTTACATTGTCTAAATGTGATATTGTAACTATGCCGTTAAAGATATATATAAAACAAATCCTCGTGAACGATCATGTCCTGCATCTAGGTCGTTGTACAGTAAGTATGAAACTATATTTAGACTCCCTATCATCATATCACTCACATTTCACGTGACCCATCACATGGTTTGTATATATTATGTGTGTTAGGTCGACCTCATGGCGTATCCATCAAACTGTGACGGCGAGGGGCGAACAAAGCCGAAAATACACGAATGGTTTGTATCACGTGGTAATGCCTTGTGAGGCCCATCATGTGACTTCAGAACAAACAGCAACATGGCGAGGGAGGTTGTGGTTGTCTTAGCCCTCGTGTGTCTATCGTGTTTTGCAACTGCGTTTGAATGGAAAAGGAAAGGATTTGTAGAGTTTATGGAGATAGAGGAAGCTGAAGTCCCTAAAAAGACACATAAATATTGTTTTCATCCCAAGTTCAACCAAGGAATCAAGAACGTGAAGTGAGTATGCTTCGAAGCCATAATCTATTCATTACTATCTTGTTCTCTTTGTTTAACCACCCCCCCCCACCCACCCCAACTCTAATCATTAACCCACGGATCATTGAATGTGAAACATCCATAGCGCCCCTACCCTTACCTCTGCAAAATATCGAACTTAGAAATTTCAACGATATTGTTTTAATTCACCTGTGATCAGCTAGATCTGTCTCACTTAGTTTAAAAAAGTCTTCAACATCCGCGTGTAGTGTTGATTACGTCATTCGCCAATGTTTTCTAAAAATAAAATTTCACGATTGGGGGGCCAATCTATGTCTAGGCCAGCAAGTAGTATTTTAACTTGCCCTTTGTGACACTGGGCTCTGAATTCTGTTATTTGGGTAACCAATACCTGTTATCAAGTCTTGGCAAGAATGGCATTCAGATGTGAAACATATGGAAGATAATTTGTCCATTGAGCTTCCGTATGTCCATTGCTAATCACCTACCAGTGCCAATAAACTGTTGGCTTCCTTTGTTAAGTTTCCACCTTTGTTATCTTATTACTTTTGTTGTTCTTACAGATACTGGTCACCGACCAGTTATTGCCATTTTGTTCATGTTATTTAAGTTGACTACCAATAACTTAAAGGGGCACTGATCTAACGCAATTCCCCAGGGACTGGTTGTTGTCTTTGTTATTGTTTTTTCCCAGTGAGTACCCGGATGTATAGCAGAAATCTAGACTAGTTCGCGACCTCTGCTGCGCCATTCGTAAGTGCATTAGTCACTTTTATGGGTAGTAATAAGGGCGTATGGTCACATTGATCAACAAAATGAAATACAGTTTTCGAGATAATAAGGAAATGTAGGTATCTTTGCGGGTAGCATCGGTAATGGTGACGAAATTTTGATAAGTCACTTGCTTGGTAATTTTGCGATTTTCGTTTACACTATTTTGACTTGCAACACAAAGTAAATATTTCACCTGAGCATTGCTTTTTTTTATAGTGTGTATAGTTTTTTACTGTCAAAATGTGTAACATTTTCAAATTTATTAAATGCCTAAATATTCAGTTCTTTTACAAAGTGACTGAAAAACATTTCCATCTGTATTATTATGATAACGAATTCCAAACATTTTGGTGTTTAATGTCATCACCAAGAGACTGAAAATGTTACCTTGAAAAGTACATTTCTATGTTGTTTGGCTTCTAATCCGACATAATAATCTGTTGTGATGTTGTTAGGCCCTTTTGATCGTCTTAATCAATTTTAGTCAATCTGAAGAATTTCCCAACCAAGACGTAGAGGAACAAGAATGAATCAGTTCAATGCTACAGCGAATGAAGGAAAAACAAAATGCAAATACCATAATTACAACCTACCAAATTTATGTGTATAAATTTTGGGCAGCTTCCTTGTTCGAGGAATGTATCCGTGAATATCCACACAAAGGAACAATATCCCACTCGTCTGCAGCTGTACAAAAAAACTTATTCGATGTCACGTGTCTCTGTAACAATCAAATATTTTTAAAGATATATATCGTTTCAGGATATTATAACCCGTGTTCCTTTCTCAGCTGATCACTTAGATTGTTTCAGGTGTTTCACATAGGTGTCAAGTCTCAAGGGTTGGCTGAGAAAGCCCACGTGACAACTATTTTCATAACGTCCACGGTTCCTAAAAAATCCATTGAGTGATAGATAACAATGAGCAATCAATCAACGTATTATTAGTTAACCCTTTGAACAAAGTATGTTGTTTTTACATCGACACTTCACGCCATGATATGAGTGTATTCCCTTTGTTTTAGTAAACCTAGACATGTAAACACTCCCTTTTGACATATCCACTCAATCAACGTATTTTCTGTTAATCCTTTGATGACTAGGAACGATCCGTTGATTTACAAAAAAAGTAAATGAACTGATCATTCATCTCTTGCTGGGCTGCCACGTGCATATTACACAACACACATTTCACCTCACTTCAAACCTGGATTTAGATTGAATAATTACCCCAGACACAATAAATGCCAAATCGGAACCTTTGTCAGGTAATCTTAGTGGTGCTACCACTAATTGTACCTGTTATAAATTCATTAACTGAGCATCAAGTGAATGACGACAAATACACAAGTGTAGGGTTATACCAGAAAACGTGGATGACAACAAGGGGGTAGTAATCGTATTATCGACACAATCCGAAATCCGAAAATGCTTTCACTGCATGGATACTGCATGGGAAAAAACAATAACAAAGGCAACAACCAGTCCGGGGTATTGCGTTAGATCAGTGCCCCTTTAAGTTTTTGTGAGACTATGAGCAAATGCACTTATTTCTGTCCGTGGAATAAGATTCAGTTGATTTCTGTTGTAATGCTACGATATAGAATCAAAACAGTGGAAATAGAACTTTCCCGTTGACTTAAAGTACTAGTTATCACCATCGTCTTAACAGCACGTTATACAAAATAGTAAATTCTTTTAGTATCTCAGGTATCACACTCAATTGTTTTTATACATCAAAATGAATGAAGAATGCTATTATCATGATTATCAATTTGTCGTCTGCAAACTGCCAGGAACCAATATTCCCCAAATTCGATCTACACATACTTATCCCTAACACTATGTACTGTGGATTTCGTGATACATGTATATACAGGCTATGCATTTATGTAAAACAGCTCAAATGGGTTTCAGAATTGTATTTTGGGGAAGAAATGACAGACAGATAGAAAGCAATGACAGAACTGAAAATGCATCATCATGTTGTTTCATTTATATTTTCACATGACTTTTCTAAAGTTGTATTTGAGCAAGGTGATTATGGTGTGTGTTTTTTTAATTTTCTCACAAGAATCTGTTTTGTTCATTTTCGGATGAAAACAAGCAAAAGTAAAATGAGATGCGATCATGTGAGCTATAACGGGGAGTTGGTGATAATTGGTCCTCGGCGACAGCATTTATTCTTTTGATGAAGGCAAGAACATATACTCTGAAATGTTGTGCTCCTCATAATAAAGAAGTTGACATCCATAAATTCTCGTCCTTAATACCTGTAACTTTATAAAGACTGACCCTAGTCTTCCATCATTTATCAAAATGTTTGTCTTCAGCAGGTTTCAATTTCAACATCATCTCTAACGCGTTTAAGCTCCATGTGGGGGTAGATGAGTAATCCTATCTTGACATGGTTGTGATACTGATAATTTGCTGATACAGTAATTGAATTATCAGTGCAAAATTGTCTTCTTGTATGAATCCTATAATGATTTGACATAAAACTACATCCCTGTTAAGTACTTGCACACTTATGATAGAAACTGTTAAATGAGACTGTTATGATTATCATCAATTTAAAATTTTCATGAACATATTGTTAATTAATGTCTTTTTATTGTTGATTTCATTGAGAAAGCAACTGTTGACCCGAACTTGATAAATATTGTTATACAATTCATACATTACTTTATTACTTCTTGTTTATGAACTTGATGCATTGAATACAATAAACCATCTTGATAGTGTTAAACAACCAACAGATGATATATTTTCAATGTTTTGGGGCGGTCGTGGAGCCTAGTGGTTAAAGCGTTCGCTTGTCATGCTGAAAACCTGGATTTGATTCCCGACATGGGAACAATGCGTGAAGCCCATTTCTGGTGGGTGCCACCAAGATAGTGTTGGAATATTGCTAAAAGCGGTGTAAAACCATACTAACTCAATCACTATCAATGTGTTTTGTTGTTTGGTTTGGAAACCAGGAGGGCGAGAGATCGATGAATAAATTCCCCCATGTGTGTATATCTGTCTCAGTCCATGAAATTCTGGGTTAGAATAGGTCCCTAGCAACCTAGTGGTAGTTAGAGTCTACCAAATGGATCTGGTGGTCAGACTCATTGACTTGCTCGATTGGTTGGTTGATGTTGAACGCCGCACTCAGCAATATTCCAGCTATATTACAGCGGTCTGTAAATCCAGTCTGGGCTAGACAAGCTAGTGATTGGTATCATGAGCATCAACCCACGCAATTGGGATACAATGACATCAACCAAGTCAGTAAGTCTGACCAGCTGATTCTGTTAGTCGCCTTTTACAGCAAGCATAGGTTGCTGAAGACCTATTGTACCCCAGATCTTCTAAGTCGACTTGCTTGATCATACCCTGATGACATATCGATCACTGGATTGTCTGTTCCATGCTATTTACAGACTGACAAGGTAGAATGTCACTGAGTGCTGCGTTAAACAACAAACCAACCAAACAAATGTCTGTTTCAGGACCTACCCTCGTCCTCATGAGTACATGGACATGGCCTCCCTGCCCGAGGCTCTGGACTGGAGGAACGTGAACGGCACCAACTACTGCAGCACCACCCGGAACCAGCACATCCCACAGTGTGAGTGCAGGATTAGCACTTAAGTATTTTACCTGGGAGAGAAAAATCTCCCCTGGTCCAAAGCAATGAAATTTTTGGGAGTGTGATGAGATTAAGGGGAGCGTGTTGAGATTTGGGGGAGCGTGATGAGATTAAGGGGGAGCGCGATGAGATTAGGGGGAGCGCGATGATATTTAGGGGAGCGTGGTGAGATTTAGGGGAGAGTGAGATTTAGGGGAGTGATGAGATTTTGCCAATTAATCAGATTTAGTCCTCAAACAGTGGAAAGTTCTGTATTTTGATTTTTACTATTTGTGACTGGAATTATGATGCAGATAATGTTTCTAGATAATACAAGCTGCATGTATGTGTGATGCCTTATGCTTCTACCCGTGAAGATCCGGGGTAGAATAGGTCTTCAGCAACCCACGCTTGTCGTAAGAGGCGACTGACGGGATCGGGTGGTCAGGCTCGCTGACTTGGTTGATGCATGTCATTGTATCCAAAATGTGTGGATCGATGCTCATGATATTAATCACTGGATTGTCTGGTCCAGACTTGATTATTTACAGACTGCTGTCATGTAGCTGGAATATTGCTGAGTGCGGAGTTAAACAACCTGAAACAAACATTGGCTGGGAGTATTTCTAACTTACTGTGTATTGGACAGTAAACAGTAAACAAGCAAGGCTGGGGAAATCATGACTCCCAAATTTAGAAAATGACTCCCAAAAATATGTGTTCAGTCTTAAGACTTCAATTAAGTCGCCATGATTCACTGTGCAGAGTTACATCCCTTGGACACGCCAGAAACCAATGATTGTGGGTTCACCCCGATTATGTTTCTAGGTTTGTCAGCTCGATACCCATGTTTGTGGGTTTCACCGAAGTGGTAAACGTCTGAGACCTGCATCACTTCGGGCTTTCCTCCCACAAAGCTGACACGCCATGATGTAACCAGAATACTGAAAACAGCTGCGTTAAACCTTACTCACTCAATCATTTTTACAAGGCTATGTGTAGCAATAATTTTGACTCTGTAGTCGGGCATGTAGGTATACATTTCATGTTACCAGCCACGGGAGAGCAGATATTTCATACTCTGGGCCTGAAACTACATTAACTTACCAGTCCCTATAATGATAACATATAGTAAAACCCTTATTAATGGCACATTTCTACAAGTTCTTTTGATACCTTAACTATTGGGCAGTTTGACATGGACAACAGGAGTTTCTAATGCTGCTTGGACGGACAATATGTGAAGCCCATTTCTGGTGTCCCCTGCAGCGATATTGCTGGAATATTGCTAAAAGCGGCGTAAAACCAATCTCACTTTAATGCTGCTTACTCTTAGCCTTCAATTTCAGACTGTGGTTCCTGTTGGGCCATGGGTTCTACTAGTGCTCTGGCCGACCGCATCAACATCAAGAGGAAGGGTGCTTGGCCATCCACCTACCTGTCGGTACAGAACGTTATCGACTGTGGCAATGCAGGCTCTTGCGAGGGTGGCGGGGACCTGGGGGTGTACAGCTACGCCAACAAGAATGGTATTCCTGATGAGACTTGCAACAACTACCAAGCCAAGGACCAGAGTGAGTGATAGAGCTACCACACTTGTTCTTTTGTTGTAAATAACCCTACTCAGCAATATGTGGCCAGATGAACCAGTGATTAGTTATGTGTGCAACGATTCATGTAGTAGTACACATTCTTTTCTTTAGGAAAGTTGGGGGCGGTGGAGTAGTCTGAGGGTTAAAGTGTTCGCATGTCACACTGAAGGCCCATATTCGATTCCCCACATGGATACAATGTGTGAAGTCCATTTCTGGTGTCTCTGTGATGATGATAAATGCAGCATTAAACTCACTCAATACCAATATATACTGCTCAAAAATTGTTAAAGAACAAAGTAACATTCTGGTGTTTTGTTTTGAGAAGCATGTAACTGGAATATTGCTGACAGCTGCTTTTAGCAACAGAGCCTACTGACCTTTGAGTTAGGGGTGTAACAATTCACCACATTTTCTGGCAATACTGCCATTATACGAGTATCACATCAGCATGATCATGCGGTCATGCATCAATAAACCAATATTTGCAGGGGGGATTGAACAACGAAGTTATATATACACTCAGATGGGCTTGCTCCTTTCAATAATTACTGGCCCTTCTCCAAACTCAGAAATTTAGAACTCCTTACCCCAAAAGGTCATTTCCTGCCCTCTGAAATCTTGGCTTCCATTTGCCTCGTTTCTTGGTTATTTTATGAGGAAATGAAAATATTATTGCTGGTTCCACCAAATTGATCTTTGAGCCAACCATTCACACGTCCTCATCCCCCCTAAATGTTTAAATCGAAATTACCTCATTCATACATTGTCATAGCAGTGTTCAATTAAAAAAATTAAATCTACAGAGACAAGGAAGGAAATTTTGACAGGCCATCTACTTTGTTTCAGCAAGCCTTTGGTAATTTTAACTGGCTATCAGTTAAATCGACCCCTGATTTGTATACTACTCAACTTTTGTCGTCATGCTTAATTATGCACTTGACATGAGAAGCATGGAAAGATAAAAATAACCCTGTCAGTATGAACGTTAACACAAAAATTTGATTGTTTTTGTATGTACGAGAGCTACTATAAGGTGGGTGTACCAAGCCTCTGAAATGTTTTATTTGGGTTGCTATTCACGTCCTTCGCGTGTCGAGCTATCATGTGTCAACGTGTGTGATGGTATACAAGCGAAGTATAGAGTTGCAGCCCTGTGTTGATCTGCTTCAGAATGTGTGACGTTCAACCAGTGTGGAACCTGCACAACATTCGGGGTGTGTGCCAACATTCAGAACTATACCCGCTATAAGGTTGGCGACTTCGGCAGTGTCAAGGGCAGGGAAAATATGATGGCCGAGATATCCAAGAATGGACCCATCAGGTAAAGCTTCATCCTGGATTGTTTTTGTTTATTTATGCGAACTCAGCAATATTCCAGCTATATGACGGTGGTCTGTAAACTTCCGAAATATGGAGACACAATCCAGTGTTTGACATCATGAGCATCAATCTGCTACTGGAATACGATGACATGCATCAACCAAGCTAGAGAGTCTGACAACTAAATCCCGTTTGTCGCCTCTTACCGAAGCGTAGTGCCACCAGTGGCTATTACGAGTTATGTCCCTCCTAGTAACCAATCAGATGCCACCTCTCATATCACTTGCATTTGCTTCACATAAAATGGTGTCTCCCAGTGAAGACGATCTGAGCGATAATCAAGATCTATATTGATACGAAATGGGTCTTTCTTCTTGAAAAGAGCACCTTGATTAAACATGAGAAGGAAAATATCTGACTTCGAGTTGCTTGTAGAAATGCCTTGCAAATCCTGCAATTGACCTAAATCTGCACATAGGTTTACTAACAAGATGTCTATTTTGTTAAGCAATTTTGATGACTATGCATAGACTTGTTAGTCCAACCAATATACAACATAATTCCGGCCTAGATTGGCAAGGATGGAAACTGGACTTTTAAAGTCAGTTAACTCCCTTGCCTTGGGGGGGGGGGGGGGGGGGGGGTGGGTGGGGTTTAGCATGATAAAACTGGTCCAGTCAGACAGCCCGCGCACATGCAACATTAAACCCTACTTCACCTCACCTGATCAGGCTAATTTTTTGTTCATTAGTAATGGTAAGAACTCGTTACGTTTCAGCTGTTCCATCATGGCCACCGACAGCCTGGAGAAGTATACTGGGGGAATATTCAAAGAGTTTCATCTTATGAACATGGTGAGTGTTTATCACTGCCCATCGGGCCATACCTCATTCTCAGATGTCACAATGGGTGGAGTGGTGATCATATTTCTAGGAATGAAAAACAAATAGGGCATGGTTAAACAAAATATTTCTGACATGAGATCATTGGTTAACATGCGTAATTTTTAAGCCTGGAAATCACCTTAATATTTTTCATTGTATGAAACAATCTTTTCAAAGATTTTCAAAGCACAACAATTAGGTGTGTCTGTAACCTGATTGTGGATTCAATTGAGTTAGGTGTGTCAGCACCATATGTATGTGTGTGGGCTTCACTAAAGTGGTGATAACTTCTGGCTTTCCTCCCACATCAAACAGCCATGTGATATCAGAGCTCCAGATAAGCTTCTGGTGTTTTGGGTATCAGTAATTCTATCTGGGTATTCAAATTTTGGTTACCCACTAGTTTTTACACATGTGGGTATTCAAGTTAAATATCAAAAAACACTATTCATCTAGTCCCTGCAAACTGGTGTCGTGTGGCTTCGAGAGCTTTATAGGACTAAAAAATAACATGATACTTCCACAAGAAAGTGTGATGGCAAATGATCATGATGTAACTGTCATCGTGGAGTTTGGCAAGGTTGACAGAATGCCTGTTTATAACTTCAATATAATTTTTATATGTTTCAGCCTAACCATGTGATCTCGGTAGCTGGATGGGGTGTTGATAAAGCATCAGGCCTGGAGTACTGGATTGTCCGCAACTCCTGGGGAGAGCCATGGGTAACTAGACTTCTCATTCTAACTAACAGTGGGGCTGGACAGCTCTGAATGGTTATTACCCATGCAAGGAGGCCATGATGAGCTAGGTCACCTGACGATCAGAGTGTGTGACCTACTTGATTGTGATTGGGTTATCAGGCTGTCATCATATCAAAATTGTGTCAGTCCGGACAAGCAATCCAGTGCATGTTTACAGACTGCTGGAATATAGCTGCCAGTATATGGCTGAAAGTGGTATAAAAAAATACTCATGTAAAATGGATAGCTTTATTTATATACCTCGGAGGACAATTGTTTCTTTGTTGTTTAACGCCACACACAGCAATATTCCATCTATATGGCGGCGGCATGTAAATAATCAAGTCTGGACTGAAAATCAAGTGAATGACATCATGAGCATCGATCTAGGCAATTAGAATACAATTACATGCATCAACCAAGTCAGTGAGCCTGACTATCCGAAACCGATTGATTTATTCACAAGTGAGCTTTCGACTCTTGTGACTGTCAATTTTGTTTATTCGAGGAAAAATTAATTTCTCTTCCAAGGAAAAGCCATGTTTTGTGGCTCACTAACTCTTTCTGCTTTTTCAGGGTGAGCATGGCTGGTACCGTACAGTGACCAGCAAGTACAAGAATGGAGAGGGCAAACACTACAATCTTGGTATAGAAGACGGATGTGCCTACGGTGACGTCATCGTGGCCTGAACATCATTCCCGTTGTGTTCATACAGCCGCAGTACTTGCTAGAAACTATTTTACACCTATGTTTTAAGATGTTTTTGTAACTATTCCACATTGTCTTACTATCACATTTTTATTGAAGATTTTTTAGACGGCATTCCTGAATATTTGAAATCTGCTGTGATATTAAAGGTTTACCAGTTTTGTGTGTATTTTGTTCATTATTTGCCTGGTTTAAAAGCCAGGGTTTCATACTACTTCAGGGCCATATATATCCTCCTTTCAAGGAACGTGAAAGGACACATTAAAGTAGCGCTGTTACTATCAAAGCATGGGAGGGGATTGATAGTCAGGATGTCCTGGTACTTATGAAACTAATTTGAAGGGCAATGAACCACTAATTTTATTGCTGTGATATTCAAGTGACCTTATTTAATGCATAACTTCCGGTTATGTCATGTGTACCTGCCACTGCACTAAAGTGTGACAATAGTTATTTCAGATGTCTAAAGTTGAGGGGTGATTGATAAGTATTGAGCTTCACATAGAAATAATTGGGTAATAGTGAAATGTGTTGTAGACATAACATGTTAAGAGGTATATCCACAAATTGCTTTCCTTAAATGAAGTTGGTTTCGGTGACTTTTGAAAGTAGACCATCTTGAGGAATGTACATTGATCAAGTACTTGCAGATAAGGGCTTTACGCCAAAAGCAGATACGAACACTAGGGAAGGATTCCCTTTTCTTTGCCATCATGAAGAGGTGGGCAGGAGAGAGAGAGATTCCCTTATCACAAACTTTGGCAATGAAGAAAGTATCAGCTACTTGATAACCTAGCTGTTAGAAGCTGATTGAGAAAGGTTCTTGCAACAATTTGTTTCTATGGCGGTGGGTGAAATGTGGTTTAACATTGCGTTCTGTGCATGTGCACACTTGTTGGGATTAATGCCAATTTAATAGTGCTAGACCACTGAGATACCATGCAGCAGTTTAACATGAATACCCCACTCAGACAGTGCAGTCCTCATTTTTAGTCCCTTAATGCAGAGCGCCATCTATGGATGAAAACTTTCACCACATTGTTCTTGGATGCCCCAGGTGTCAGCATTGAGGCCTTCTGAAAGGGTGCACCGTGTGGCAATTACAAGAAGCTGCACCTTTGTGGCAAGACTAAGAGGCTGGGTAGCCATGGTCTTCCACCAGCACAATGTGCCAGTGCACAAATTAGTCATTGCCACATGTGACCTTTGAACTGCTTTAGCACCCACCTTATAGTCCTGATCTGGTTTCTGACAGACTTCCATCTGTCAAACATTAACAACCTCTAGCTGGAATCAATTTCGACTGGAAAGATGATGTTGTCGTAGCTGCTATGGAGACAGCTTTGTACAGCAGAGAGCACTTCTACATAACTTGGATAAAGTTGTTAGCAATAGTATTTAAGCGGAAGGGGATTATGTAAAATAAATAAATATTTTTTTATGTCTTTAGGTCAAGTCTTTCCACATGTTTGTTTGTTGTTTGTTTAATGCCGCACTCCGCAATATTACAGCTATATGATGGCGATCTGTAAATAATCGAGTCTGGACCAGACAATCCAGTGATTGATATCATGAGCATCGATCCACGCAATTGGGATCGATGACATGCATCAACCAAGTCAGCAAGCCTGACCACCCGATCCCGTTGGTCGCCTTTTACGACAAGCATAGCCACCTTTTACGGCAAGCATGGGTTGCTGAAGACCTATTCTACCCTGGAATCTTCACGGGTCCTTTCCACATGTGAGGCTCAGAACCTACCAACCCTCGTGAGCCACATTCAACACTCTTCAGCTACATTAGGGAAGCCACTAAATTAATGGGATATTTAAAAATATAATTTATTCCAGAGACAAATGGAAACGATGTTTTCTTTGAGTTTTACACAGAAGTCTATGTAAATTGGGATATTTGAAGGTTTTGTCATAATTTCGCTGAATGTCCTAAAATATATATTTGATAAATCTGCTCTTCCTTGCAATGTTGGGATCTGTGACCGAATAAGTGAATAGTCTGTCTTACAAACACCCCATACTTGCTCCAATGTTTAAATAGTTGGAAATCTTCGTGTTAAGAGGCGTGCATAAAGCATCAATTATGTTTTATAAAAAGTCGAAATAAGTAAAATATAAAACTAAACATTTATTCAGAATGGTCTTATTTTTCTTACGATGAAAGTTGGATATTTACATAATCAGGTTTAAAACCTGGATCAAGGCAGTATAATGTCGCCAAAATTACACCGGTTTTCAACCCCAAGGTTGTAGTGGCCATCTCGATAGGTGCTCGTCACAATTCTGAACCATCCATGTTCGCCCTGAAATACATGAACAACAATAAAATAAAATTGGACATTTGTTACATCAGTTGCAGAGAATGCATTGTCTTGCGCTGCACTCAGCAGTATTACAGCTATATGACGTCCGTCTGTAATTAATCGAGGTTGGACCAGACAGTCCATTGACTGATATCATGAGCATCGATCTACGCAATTGGGATCGATGACACGCATCAACCAAGTCAGCGAGCCTGACCACCCGATCCCGTTAGTCGCCTCTTACAAGCATAGTCGACTTTTAGGGCAAGCATGGGTTGCTGAAGACCATATAACCCGGATCTTCATGGGTATGTTTTACTTATCTCTGAACTGCATTTCAGTTATATCAGATCCAATTAACGTGGAGTGAGTGGTTTTACACAGCTTACAGCAATTCCAGCAATATCAAGGTTGGGGGTTGTAATGTATGTTTTTGTTTGTTGTTGAATGCCACACTCTGCAATAGTCAAGCTATATGACTGCGATCTGTCAATAACCCAGTACGTACCAGACAATCTAGTGACTGACTTCATGAGAATTGATATACGCAATTGGGACACTATGACACGCATTAGCCAAGTCCGCGAGCCTGACCCAGAATATATGTCCCTCCTCTTCAACTCTCACTTTGGAGTCAAATGAAATTCAACATACATAACACACACAGATACAAGTAACAGTATTGAATATTGTGGGAAATTCCCTGTTCTGTGATATCATCCACTGTCATTTTAGGCAAAGCCAAATTATTTTCAATGACCTCTGAAAATGAGGTACATCGTAAATGTCGCAATTTTTGACATTACTAATGATCATTCCAAAATGTCGCTGATAGCCAATCGTGAAGAATGTTTTGGTAAATACGCAAACACGAACGCAGAAGTAATTGCCACAAGGTGTAGCCATTCTGGACAGTGTTTACAAAATCACGTTTCACATATACCGGTTATGAGGCGCCTGTAATATTTCAAAAGCACCTGCGATACCTATATCCATAGCTAATTCTCAATAAGCTGCCTGAGTTACAATAAACTAGACGAAGTATAGCGGAGTTAAGCCAATCTCATTTAAATCAGATCTTAGTTCTCGCTATCAATAAATAAAGATTTGAGGACCTCCCATTACGGGCTCATGTCAGAATGACTTTTCATCCGACCATTCAAAGCGTTGCTTACCAGATCATGAAAGTGACAGTCGGAATGTGTTTTCTAATCATGCAACCTCAAAAGGTGGACACGGGGTATTCCGAACGACAGTTACGGACCGCACGACTGATTCCGTCAAAATTATCGTCTATCTCTCGCTTCCGTGAGATAAACATTTGATGTATGTGGGAAGTACTGCTATACAATCTCAACCATATGGTAGACATTCAGTTTTCAAAAATGTAATCGAGAACTGTGTCAACATATTTTTCTACTGAAATGGAAGTCGCCAGGTTGAAACTGTAAAGCTCGAGAAAGCTGCTTTCTAATTGGCTGATGTCGACTTCTTGTTGGTCGTTTCAGTGGTCGGTCAAAGTTTGCGGAAGTCGTTCTGACGTGATCCGTAATTGGATGTCCTCAGATCTTTGTTAAGCGGCAGCGAGAACTTAGATCTGATTTTAATGAGATTGACTCTTCGTCTTTTTCAAACCGGTTTAATATTTGCTGTTAAATTTACACCATCAGACAGGAAATTTAATATTCTACATCTCTGCGTAATTTTATAGTCCGAGGTAGATCCATTGCCGCATGAGCGCCTGCACAACCTTCTCTTTTCAGATCTAAGGTTGGTTGATTTGTTGTTTAACGCCGCACTCAGCAATATTCCAGCTATATGATGGCGGTCTGTAAATAATCGAGTCTGGACAAGACAATCCAGTGATTGATATCATGAGCATCGATCCACGCAATTGGGATCGATGACATGCATCAACCAAGTCAGCGAGCCTGACCACCCGATCCCGTTAGTCGCCTTTTACAACAAGCATAGTCACCTTTTACGGCAAGCATGGGTTGCTGAAGACCTATTCTACCCCGGAATCTTCACGGGTCTCAGATCTTAGGAAAATGTGCATCAGAAAATGTTCCAGCTATATAACGGCGGTATATAAATAATCAATTGGGATGCGATGACATGCATCAACCAAGTCAGCGTGACCACCCGATCCCGTTAATCGCCTCTTACGACAAGCATGGGTTGCTGAAGACCAATTGCAACCTGGATCTTCACGGGGCACCGCGGTAAGTAAATATTCAGATCTGGGCCAGACAAACCAATATCAACACCCACGCTGTCGGGGAACGGTGACACAGATCCTGACCCCCATCTCCAATCTAGTCAGCTCCGACAAGCCTGGAATATATCCTGACCCTACCTCGAAGAGGCTACGGCAGACTATGGAGTCCATGCCATACCATGTTGAGTGAGTGAGTGAGTGAGTGAGTGAGTGAGTGAGTGAGTGAGTGAGTGAGTGAGTGAGTGAGTGAGTGAGTTGGGTTAAACGCCGCTTTTAACAGTATTCTAGTCATATCACGGCGTGTCAGCTTAATGTGGGAGGAAAGCCTGAAGTGATGCAGGTCTTATACGTTTACCATTTCGGTGAAACCTACCAGCACCGGTATGGTGCTGACAAACCTAGAAACATAATCGGGTCAAACCGGGATTCGAACCCACAAACAGATGACTGGGCCACCCGTGTCCCCAATACCACGTTGAGTGAGTGGCGTTTTGTCATGATGAGAAGGAGGTGTGAGGATAGACCTACCCATGGCTCTCCCCAGGAGTTTCTACCAATCCAGTATTCGGTACCCGTGCCCTCTTCCACGCCCCATCCTACCAGGGCTATCATGTGATTACTCTGAAAAATACAAGACAGCTTATGACTCTCGAGACCCCAACGGGGAGAAAGAAATCACGTGGGAAACAGCAAATACTCCGTGAGCGCAATGCATCCTGTTGGGAGTTTACATTTTATTATCACAAACAATACCATAAAAAACAAACACACCGACAATACAAATAGCAAAAGAGGCAAAATGCAATCGACACTTTCTCAGTCTCACTCGTAGAAGCAAAACGTTCGAGATAATACGAGATAATACGAGACCAGCACTAGATCGTTTGACGGATTTTGCTAACCTTCCAAAAGCAGTTTGTTTGTGGTTTAACGCCGCACTCTGCAATATTCTAGCTATATGACGGCGGTCTGTAAATAATCGAGTCTGGACCAGACAATCCAGTGATTGACATGAACATCGATCCACGCATTTGGGATCGATTATATGCATCAACTAAGTCAGCGACCCTGATCACCCGTTAGTCGCCTTTTACGACAAGCATAGTCGCCTTTTACGACAAGCATAGCAGCCTTTTACGACAAGCATAGCAGCCTTTTACGACAAGCATAGCCGCCTTTTACGACAAGCATAGTCGCCTTTTACGACAAGCATAGTCGCCTTTTACGACAAGCATAGTCGCCTATTACGACAAGCATAACCGCCTTTTACGGCATGCGTGGGTTGCTAAAGACCTATTCTATCCCGGATCTTCACGATCAAGTTGAAAAATACGCCGGGTAAAAACAATCACATTCCAACAATTGATCAACATACCAGAGGGTTTAAGTTGAATTCTCGATAGATTCCTCCAGTATAAGCATGGAATTTCTTTGTTGTGACGATAGAGCAACTGTAATATGAAAGGAATACAATATAATTAACAAAACCTCATCGACGGTAGCCTATTGTCAATTCAAACTATTGTAAATAGGAACACAAACACTATTCAAAAACTGGAAACTGAAATATGTACACGTACCTATTAATATGTGATGAGTTTAGTTTATTACGATCTGAGCGCACTATGTCTCCATTCTATACTACTCCACTTTTTCTAGGGATATTTTGTTCTTCTTTCCATGATGCATAAAGAAGTGCAGTATATCATGATAGATACCCAAGATCTATTTGCCACCATAGCTTCTTTTGAGAAGTGACATAACCCCTTCGTTTCTATCTCGAACGTACCACAAACATTTTCTCGCTCCTGAAAGCGATCTGATTGGATGACTATTTTACGTTTCGTGCCATTGAAACGGCTTCAAAACGAAGGTATGGTGGCGAATAGGTCATGGGAATTTATAAAATTAAAACGGAGTTATAATGCACTAGATAATTCAGGGCATAAAATAATTTGGACAAACTACCGCCCTACCCTGATGACGTTACTAGACAATTTCACCCAAACCCAATACCTGTAGCATTAAACGACACGAATTGGCCACAGGACTGGTAGTTATTTATACTTCTGAGGGAATGAATTTGTCAGCTATGACCAGGCTAATATTGTGAGCCGGTGCACACGCTACAGGTCCCTTTTGTCGGATTCATACATTGTATGACGGAGATGGCAATGAGGGATTGTACAGTGTGAAATTTAGAGTGTTCCCGACTGTGAATGGTTTCGTTAAATGCATATCATGTGGCCATTGGTACTGGCGCCATAGGTTTAACAACGGATCTTCCTCCAATACACAGAGGTTTCAAGATCCGCTCTTTGTGGATGCGTTCTGGTTGAGATTCATGGTTTGTCAGCACCATACGTGTCCGTGAGTTTCACCAAAGTTTGTTGTTTAAGGCCGCACTCAGCAATATTCCAGCTGTATGACGGCAGTCTGTAAATAATCGAGTCTGGACCAGACCAGACAGTCAAGTGATTGACAGGAGCATGGATCCACGCCATTGGGATGCGATGACATGCATCAACCAGGCCAGGGAGCTTGACCACCCGATCCCGTTAATGGCCTTTTACGACAAGTATGGGTTGCTGAAGACCTTTTCTTCACGGGTCGAATAATGAAATGTTTCTGGTAGTTACCTTACTGGTCCGTTCTTGAATATTTCCGCCATCAACACCTCTCTTCCACTGATGGTACCATAATCAGCGACAAACCATCGCGTGTAGTTCTGAATGTACTCACACTGGTTTCCAGGGTGGCACGTTCCGCACTGGTTAAACTGGTTGCACTCTGTAGATCATTGTGAAACATATTACGCACGCTTCAAATACCTTTGGGCCATATGCTACTAAACCAACCAAAACAGTTTATATTTCTCAGAACGTCCAATGAACGGTTGTTTTGGTGTACAATTCGAAGCCAATTGTGTTCAGTATTTAAGGAAACAATTTGTTTAATAAAACGTACCACAATTAACGAAGGGAAAGTTTGTCACTGTTTACCGGTGATATTTGTTGTTTAACGCCGCACTAAGCAGTATTCCATTTTCTGGCGGCGGTCTATCCAGTGATTGACTTCATGAGCATCGATCCACGTAATTGGGATGCGATGACATGCTTTAACCAAGTCAGCGAGCCTGACCACCCGATCCCGTTAGTCGCCTATTACGGGAAGCATGGGTTGCTAAAGATCTATTCTACCCGGATCTTCACGGGTCAATCAACCAGTGAAATAAGATATGCATAACTCAAGGACGTCAAATGAGCCCTTTAACGCGCATGGAATTTCTACGAACCCTAACGTTGACCGATATTGAAGCACTGCGTGGAGCTTGTACGATGTAATCTGGGCGCTCATTGGCCAGAACACTCGCTGCCCTTCAAGTTGGACCATGCTGTGGTTGATTCGTTTGTTAAAAATAGCAGCTAGGCCGTATGTATTCACGCGTTAAGGAGGAGCGTAGTGTATACAAACTTGACGTTTTGACGATGGATCTTCGTGCCGGACAAGAGAATATGCTAACCCTGATCTTTGGCTTGAAAGTTGTTGCACGTTTCATCAGGAATACCGTCTCTGTGGGCGTATCTGTACACAGCCAGATCCCCACCCCCTTCACAAGACCCCGCCCCTCCACAGTCGATCACGTTCTGGACCGAGAGGTAAGCTGATGGCCACGCCCCCTTCCTGAGTATATTGATGCGGTCAGCCAATGAGCTTGTAGAACTCATTCCCCAGCAGGACGCACAGACTAAGAAATGAAACAATTAAAATAATTGACTCGATGCACTTACTAAAGTACTCACGGATATGAAAAAACCCCTGTTTTTTCGATCGCAGATTTTAAATAAATGCAGTTAATATACAAAATATATAAATATTCAAACAACTCAATTAGTACTAATTGGGCCTTGGCACAAATACAGCGTATCAAAGGTTTTTATGTCTTTTTACACGTAAAAGTGTGTAAAAATATGAACAAAACAGACTATTGTGAAACTGAGCATAACCAGGTGTTAGTAGATCAAGGTGAATGTCCATGACCTATGACACCTTGACGACAGGTGAAAACAGGTGCTTGAAACCCACGTGCATATGATTTGTCAGTGGTTAGTGATTTGTGAGTGGCATTGTGGGAAAGTGAATCACCGTCAAAATATCAGAACGTAAAAGCAACATATTCACTTCTCAAACAACTTACATGTCATTATTATTATGTACATAAACATAGCTGATATTTTTATTGTTGTTCTGATTACTTTTTTCCAGGCTAATTTGCATAATGCCTATAGCCTGTTTCTGCCATGTCAATTTGGACTTAGTTTTATTTTTGAATGTTGAAAGTGCCTACAAATTACCTCCTGTAAAGTACATTTTGTATTGAGCACTGAGATAAAACAAGCAAATCCAGACTAGTACTTTTCCAGTTTTGTTATTTCGTATTTACATCTACGCAATGCTTTGTGTCGATTATTAAATCCAGCAAAACAGGTTTTTTTTCATTTCCATGAGTACTTTAGGCATTCACCTGATGAAGGAGCAAGAAGTAGCTCTGATACGTCGTACACATAATAAGAACTTGCTATCCTTAAACAAGTGTCATGTATTCATGTTCTCCCAACCTCTAAATGCGTATCAAAAACGTCAATGTGTTTACAGTGGGCTCAACTGGGTACTTATCACTTATCGAGTCTTGACTTGTCGATATATACTAAATAAGGGATTCATTATCAATGAGGCAATTGTTGTCTGTGAATATTTCATTAAAGACTCATGGCAGGATACAAGATCGAGAACAGTTTATGATTCTATTGGTATTAAGAGTGCATTCAAAACTATTCGACTCAAAAGGTTAAAGCCCATTTTCCTTATGACTAATCTGAAATATGACAGATTAATCATATGAAGAAATGGTGTGTTCTTTAACGTCTCTTGAGTAGTTGGGCTTTTGTCATTGTACAGGATATTGATGCCCAAATAAGTTTTACCTTGTTAACTTGTTGTTTAACGCCGCGATATTCCAACTATATTACGGCAGTCTGTAATAATCGAGTCTGGATCAGACAATCCTGTGATTGAACATCACAAACATCGATCCACGTAATTGGGATAAGACGACATGCATCAACCAAGTCAGCGAGCCTGACTACCCGATCCCGTTAGTCGCCCCTAAAGACATGGGTTGCTGCCCAAATAAGTAAAACCAAAGGAAAATAGAAAAACCAATTACAAGTTTTACTTCAAAGGAAAACCTCAGTAAAAAAACAGTTGTAAAACACGAATAAGACACGAGGTTGACATGCTTTATTTTGAACCATACATTCAGTTGACCCTGATGTCTGTACAGGTTCATCTCCAGCCACAGCAGCCGTTGATGGAACAGGCATCACATCCTGATTTGGGCTTCTGTCTTAGGCTTCTTAGAGTGAGTGAGTATGGTTTTACGCCGCTTTAGGCAATATTCCAGCAATATCATGGCGGGGGACACCAGAAATGGGCTTCACACATTGTACCCATGTCGGGAATCGAACCCGGGTCTTCGGCGTGACGAGCGAACGCTTTAACCACTAGGCTACCCGACCGCCCCTAGGCTTCTTAGAAGAACATACTCAAAAGAAGTTAAAGAACACCAGATTCGTAAGATAATTTATCGATGTCAGCGTCTTTATAATGAGGAACACCACTTTTCAGAGTATTAGAATATGCTTAATCCATCAGGTGGTGAAGGAGAAAGCATATACTCCGAAACGTTGTGTTCCTCATAATGAGGTTGCCATTCATAAATATCTCTTATATCATGTCTAAATGCCATTCAAAGACCTAACACCCGATTTATTTGTGTTTCTAGATTAGTTATGGTAATATGATTGGTTGGTTGGTTTGTTGTTTAACGCCGCACTCAGCAATATTACAGCTATATGACGGCGGTCTGTAAATAATCAAGTCTGAATCAGACAATACAGTGCTTAATGTCCTGAGCATCGATCCAAGCAATTGGGATCGATGACGTGCATCAACCAAGTCAGCGAGCCTGACCACCCGTTCCCGTTAGTCGCCTTTTACGACAAGCATAGTCACCTTTTACGCAAGCATGGGTTGCTGAAGACCTATTCTACCCCGGAATCACCACGGGTATATGGTAATATGAAAGAATCGGGTTTTCTTTAACTTCTTTGAGTAGTATATGTTAGAAAGGCCTACTTTCTGTTCATCATTGGTCCTTTTATAGATCCTGATAACTTCTTCTGTGACAAGTCACTTACAAGTTCTGAGTGTAGATATTTATGTTGAATAAGGCACGCTTCCTTCGTTTTCAGATACCGGAGCACTAAATTGTAAACATTATACAGTAAACTACGTTTATAACGAACACGCTTATAATGAACTTCCGGATATAACGAACTGTCTCTTGGTTCCGTCCATGTTGTGTTTATATTTTGTACATATGCTTTATAACGAACTCCTGTTATAACGAATTAAAATTAGTGGTTCATTTGAGTTCGTTATAACCGTAGTTTACTGTACAGCATTTTATGTTATCCACTTTTTACATAGCAATTGTGTACTTACAGTTGTTATATGGCAGTGTAATCTGCTGCTAAACAATGTTGTAATTGTATTGAATTGTTTCTGCTAAGATTTAGAAGTAATTCATAACATTTTGATATAACAATTAGTTGTCAGGAATGTATTATTGTCTAATTTAAGCAGCAGTAGTGTTGAAGTTGCTATATTTAGATGCTTGTATAGTCAAGTGTCTAGAATCTTTTTTTCTAGTGCAGCTAGACTAACCAGAACCTTCCAGTGAGTGAGTGAGTGAGTGAGGTTTTACGCCGCTTATAGCAATATTCCAGCAATATCACGGCTGGGGACACCAGAAATGGGCTTCACACATTGTACCCATGTCGGGAATCGAACCCGGGTCTTCGGCGTGACGAGCTAACGCTTTAACCACTAGGCTACCCGACCGCCCCCAGAACCTTCCAGAGCGGATTTAGACTATAGAAGGGGTTCATAAGCGTGTCCCTCTCATCTCACATTACATCAAGACAAGCGGTCGTGTGAAAATGTTTATTTTCATCCTAGATATCCAGCCTAGGCCTATTTTGGAAGCTTGACAACTGTTGTTGTTAGGTGAATATTATTACCACTTCTCTCATATTGTCATAATTTATATTGCCATTGTACTTGTACTGCCATTTTGAATTTTGTTGGTTGGTTTATTGTTTTACGCCGCACTCGGCAGTATTCCAGCTGTATGACGCCGGTCTGTAAATAATCGAGTCTGGACCAGACAATCCAGTGGTCGACTTGAATTTTGTACTGCCATTCTATTGTGTAAAGTCATTGTAATTGCTGTGCAGTAATTTGTATTGATTTGTAAACTTTGTTAATCATATGATACAATTGTTAATTGTATACCATTTCATTGTTTTTTGTTGGTTTCACACTGAATTAATTTACGTACAGATTTCTGGGTTAACTTAATGTTTTCGAAAGCTGAATTATCAAACGAAACACGGACCTCTGCCACATTCAATGACAGTCACCACTAAGAGAACATTACTCCATTGCAAGAAAATTACTCACCCTAGAAATCTCCACCCTAGAAATCTCCACTTTTCGAATGGAACAAAGCATATCTTTCCCACGTCCATCTGTCATGGTCGTCACTGAAGACTGGGGTCAGCCACGTGCGTGAAACCCGCGTATTGCACGTGAGGCTCGTGACTCTCGCCTTGTGTTATTCCGGATTAATGACAATCTTCTAAACCGGTTTCAGATTTGAGAAGGTTGTGCACGAATTGCGCTCATGCGGCAATGGATCTACCTCCGGCAATAAAATTACGCAAAGTTACAGAATATTATATTTCCAGACTGATGGTGTAAATTCAACTGCAAATATTAAACCGGTTTGAAAAAAAAGACACTGCTAAGTGTTACCCGAGAATTTATTCTGCGTTGAAAAACAGAATATATCTCCGCTTTTTATCGTACACCGATAAAAGTACTGTGCGACGATATTTTTTATTTAGCAGCTCTACAGAAACTGTGAGCGAACACAATACTGCCTAATATCCGAACGACATAAATATATATGAAATGGATTTATATGCTTATGTATAAGGTTATACTTTCAATACCAAAAATATCTTGCCGTAAATGACGAAAACTCATTTTCCTGCACTCATTCTCAATAAACTGTTGCATTAATGTCTCTGGCGTTGCTCTTGTTTACTGTATTGAGTAACCAGAAATTATTGTTTCTATGAATTACATGACCATCTATGCTACCTATAACACACACGTTTTCGTTTGGTTAAAAAAAGAAAAGAAAGAAATATTTTTTTGGGCTTAATGTACCTAATTTGTAATGTACGTTACTGTCGCCCGAAAGGTTTTAAAAGTTTAACCCTATTACTTGAGAATACATAACATAATTTATAGGTTTAAACCTAATCCATTTTATGAAACATACCCGAGTTCTCATGAAACTATCAGAGAAAGTCATGTCAACCTCATTCCAATTTATTTCTTTGCCACTGAATGCTTGTTTCTAATTTTGATTTTAAAAGGAACTTTTATAAAACATCATTTTTTAATAACTTATCAAAACAATCATTTCAATATTTCTGTTAAAATCAATTAATATAAGCCTTGTTCTTGACTCATATATAATCAAAATCTAATAAAAAACATGATCAGGGAAAAAAAGAGAGGATGTTAACTCAGAATTTGAAGGTTATGGATAAGAATGTACGTGACCATCTCTTACATAATAGTGTAGTGATTTTATTAGCGTTTCAAACGATAAACATTAGCTACACGAGGAAATATAGTGACAATTCCAAACTATATCTCGCTACTATTTAAGTCTATGGTCAAAAACTACCTTTGGTTGTAATGTACGTTACCCAAAATACGAACTACCACCAAGCTGCTATGAAATAAACTCTAGCTTTGTGATTCCAACGTGGGGCGTTGCCGCCATTTTATATGCGTTGAATTGACGTCATGAAGAGTATTTATGATGCTGCAGACCTGTTAGGTGAGTTGGTACCCTAACCTCATAATCTGATGTGCGTTTCATAATAATAATTAGCTCTGGTAACAAATGTGAATTGTATTTTTGCCAAAAACATGTTGTACTTTCTGAAAAGAAAACGTTTTCAAATTGTTAATTTATGACATGCAAGATACAAGGTGTAATTTGAACAGAAATGTACGCTACCATTAGTAATGTACATTACATATAAACAAAGGGCATATCTGTGTGATATTTTTGTGTTATTAACACTTACTAGAGATAGATACTATGGTCAAATTTAATTTTGAAGATTTTGCTGCAATATTATTGGAGATAAAAAGCTTATATTCAATTATCTACTTGTTACAAAACAACAAACAGACCTGTTAGGTGAGTTGATACCCTACCTTCATAATCTGATGTGCATTTCATCATAATAATTAGCTCTGGTAACAAATATGAATTGTACTTTTGCCAAAAATATGTTTTATTTTCTGAAAAGAAAACGTTTTCAAATTGTTAATTTATGACATGCAAGATACAAGGTGTAATTTGAACAGAAATGTACGTTACCATGACTTATGGGATTGCGATCAGGAAATCATAGCATCATAGTAAAATGTCATGTGGAACTATTCCTATCATATATTGTATTTGATGTAATCAGAATGTAATAGGTCTGACAAGTGGAACATGTATAGCGACCAGTTAATGTAAATTTGCAAACATTGAGTATTTTTATAAAATGTACGCTACCAAACCAAAATCATGATTCTATTTTTGAAAAAAAAGTGAAATGTACGTTACCAAAGCAAAATCATGATTCTATTTTTAAAAAAAAAGTGAAATGTACGTTACCAAAGCAAAATCATGATTCTATTTTGTTAAAAAAATATTTGGTTTTAAAGCGAGTGTTCATAAGAAAATCAAGAAGTTTTTAGTTTTATTTTAAAATAGTGTTTTGAAATTTTGAAGATGTTTAAAAAGTGTACTGTTCTTTCAATAATGTATGTTACATTTGAAGGCTTGTATTCAAACCTGATTGTCTCTAATCAGTGGTAAAGAAATTCAACATTTATTGTTTCAAAGTTTTATACTGTGGATGTTTTTTATGTTTTTCCTTAATGTTCTTTGAAAGAACTTTCAGTAATTTCTTATAAAAAACGACACACAACATAATTAAGAAAGATATTGCGTTTATTTGTTTGGTCGACAATGATACATTATTTTGAAATGACTGTATTTGTCAGTGTTTCAATACGATATCGTTACCTTTAATCAATTTTGAGAGTTGTTGTTACAGTTAATGTTGTTTTCAAGTTGAATATTGAAAAGGAATATTTCTTTCATGTTTAAAGCATTTTAAAAACTGACACTCATTGTATCACGTACATTGTGTGTCTTGTTGGTGAATTTTCTCCATTAATGTCAAATGCTGATTGTATGAAAAACAAACGCAATTATGTGATAGTTTTGTTGTTTCTAGTTACGTCACACACTTATGTTTTGAGAAATAATTGATTTCAAGCATGAAGTTTATTTTTTGAAATGTTGACAAATCAAATACAACGGTTTATTGAGAATGAAAAATATGACGTCAAAAGACGACAGAGAGGTTACACACATACAGCGAAAAGAGGATAAACCCCGCTATGCTTAGCACTAGTTTATTGTGATCACTCAGGTCACTTGGTGAGAATAAGCTGTGGATAAGGACATTTTATTTTGGTGCTGTTTTGTTCACGAAGAGTGAGTGAGTGAGTGAGTGAGTGTGGATAATGTCTCAATACTGACTTCTCATTGTCTGGTATTTTATGTTCTAGGAATATTGTTCACCATGATGTTCAGAATGTCATTCTCGCTTATATTAAAGCGTGTGGCAGTTTTGATACTTTAAAAAATATCTTTGTACATAGCAAACCTTTATTATGGGCAAGGTGTAAATGGGCCTAGTTGCCCGAACACCTATAAATTTTTTTACTAATCAATCAATCATCGATGTACCTAATTTTCAGATGTCGTTTTCAGTAATTTTGCTTTGACAGAAATGACAGTGGGTGATATCACAGAACAGTGAATTTTCCACATTATGCAAAACCATGAAGTCTATTTGTGTGCGTGCTGTGTGTTGAATTATATTCGACTTCAAAGTGAGGGTTGAAGAGGAGGGACATATATGTCCCTCTGAAACAGCCGCCTTCTCCCGGACATATATTTGTTTCTGCTCGTTACAGTCCGACAGACTGACAGTTCCTATGAACATTGTTTTGATCTCACTCTCCTTTGATTGGCTACTGACGTTGTAGGCGTGTCAAGATATGTGCATAAATTAAACAATCATCTGATTCGTTTTACGCCACAGTATGTATTTCTACATCTGGAATGTTTATCAATCTAGTGATTTTTGTCTGCTTATATATATACAACTGTTTTTGGTTAAACTATTGTAGATTCGTACAGTTTGCACATGGGTTTTCCGAGTCATACCTCAATGAACCGAAAAAATATCAGTCAATCCTAAAATAAATGAAATTACACCACCATGCTTTGTAGATCGTTGTGATGTCATCGGTAAACATGACGTCACAATCAAAGCACATCACTAATCTTTCACCAACTCGAATATATAGAGGTCATCACGCGAGTGTGTTTGGGGATGGTAACTACCCTGTATTAAGAGTGAATGGGTTTAACGCCGCTTTTAACATTATTCCAGTTTTATCGTGGCGTGTCAGCTTAATGTGGGAGGAAATCCCGAAGTGATGCAGGTCTCAGACGTTGACCACTTCGGTGAAACCCACGAGCACGGGTATGGTGCTGACAAACCTAGAATCACAATCGGGGTGAACCGGGATTCGAACTCCTGTATTAAGAATACACATTGTATTGAGCGAGCCTTGGCGAGGTAAATACATAGTTTATATTCCTATAACAGGATATGTACCATACGCCGAGGAGTTATATCCACTCCATAAATGCCCATCTGTCATTATTTTGCCTTGTCAATGTGGAACTAACGTAAACAGGACGTCAACAGTTTGTGTACGGGTAGACACTTACGATAAAGGGAGACAATTTAAGGGGAGGTAATTCTTGTATGACAATAGTTCCGTCAAAGTGTTATGTTCACTGCAGTAAAATAATAAGTGTAATGTTCACCCCAATGAAAATATCACTTTCACACTGAAGTATATAATACGTTTGATATCAAGAGAAACTTGGGTAGATTCTCTGTGTAACTTCTCAACAATTACTGTTGTGTTAAATATTCTTATTGGTCTAAATTATACACCAGAATAAACCAGGGTTAGAACTTAAAACTAGCCCGCTAGCCCGGGGATAGTACAAATTCCAACAGGCGAGGGCAAATTTCCCCATTTCCCCATTGTGTTAACATTACAGGTGCATTTTTTCTTTACCCGGGCTAGTAAAGCTTTGAGTTTAGTTCTAACCCTGTTAAAACACTTATTAGTTGTCTGTGTGTGTAAATGAAGGATATCAATTCATAATTTAATTGTTATTATTCTCCATGATTCAAACTATACATATATTCAGCCTACCTGTTCATTTACAGAAAGTGGTGAGAAACACCAATGCAACGGATATTCAACATGTATCACTCACACTGCGGGATGTGCTGGTTCCGGGTGGGGCTGCAGTAGTTGGTGCCGTTCACGTTTCTCCAGTCCAAGGCTTTGGGCAGATCAGCCAGCTTCATGTAATCAGAAGGACGGGGCTTCGTTCTGAACAGATAGATTCAGTTAATCGCACAGTGGGTTTAAGGGACCCGTGAAGATCCAGGGTAGAATAAGTCTTCAGCAACCCATGTTTGCCATGAAAGGCGACTATGCTTGTCGTAAGAGGCGACTAATGGGATCAGATGGTCAGGCTCGCTGACTTGGTTGATGCATGTCATGGATCCCAATTGCGGGGATCGATGGTCATGATGTCTATCACTGAATTGTTTTGTCAAGACTCGATTATTTACAGACCGCCGTCATATTGCTGAGTGCGGCGTTAAACAACAAACAAACAAATACACATCCAGTAGCGGGTGTAGGGGATGTTACATCCTTCATTGAGGTCCTTACACCCGGTACACCCTGCTAGTGACATGCAAGTATGTAACACATTATTCTGCTCGGTACTGTACACAGAGTGTCACGTTGCACCATTCGTCACCACTCGCCCCTTTCCGTAACCTGCTATTCGGCTTGTCCCGGAATAACAAGAGTTGGTCACGAATGACGTTGCACCTACCTCACCTCTTCGACACCCTCGTCAAACTTCGGGTTGTAGCATGCCGGAACTTCTTCTGTCATGTGACCAGACGCATACGCCAAAATACTAAATAAGTAGATAAACCGCGTTGCCATGGTAACGTTCCTGCAATGACAGATTGAACATCACACCCCCTTGTAACAACAGGCAATGAAACACCAACACATGATCGTTTGATAAACAACTGTTTCCACCCATCATGACAATGTCTCAAATTATGGTGACGAGTTTGTATGGATAAATCAACCAATTTCGTACCATTAAGGACGAATTGTTCCTCTGGGATTTATATCGATGTTGCATTTCATCGGTACCCTTGACTCACTCGTTGTGATACCTTTATTTCGAGCCCTATTCGAAAGGGAACGAAACTACAAAAAGGTCTTCAGCAACCCATGCTTGCCATAAATGGCGACTATGCTTGTCGTAAGTGGCGACTAACGGGATCGGGTGGTCAGGCTCGCTGACTTGGTTGATGCATGTCATTGATCCCAATTGCGTGGATTGATATCGCCTTAAACGGCAAGCATAGGTTGTTGAAGACCTATTCTAACCCGGATCTTCACGGGTATGTTATACAATATGCACCAAATGTACCTTGCTATGCGTGCCCCCGTTGTCTGTTGTGGACAGTCTCAGGTGACTCGGGAGAGTTATACGCTTGTCGGCTGCATCACTGACGGGCGCCTACTGACCCATGACTCACTGATAACACATCTATCGTGCGATAACAGGGACCTCCATACACCTGATATACGCTGATATACTCAAAATAAGTAATAGTACAATCAAACGTCACATGCACCAAGCTGTTTCAATATTCATATATAAGTAGTTTTGACTCGTGAAGATCCGCGGTAGAATAGGTCTTTAGCAATCCATGCTTGCCGTAAAAGGCGACTATGCTTGTCGTAAGAGGCGACTAACGGGATCGGGTGGTCAGGCTCGCTGACTTGGTTGATGCATGTCATTGTAACCCAATTACGTGGACCGATGCTCAATCACTGATTTCAATCACTGGATTGTCTGGTCCAGACTATTATTTATAGACCGCCGTCTATAATAGCTGGAATATTGCTGAGTGCGGCGTTGAACAACAAACAAAACAAAATATAAATTATTTTGTTTGTTGCTTTACGCCGCACTCAGCAATATTCCAGCTGTATGACGGCGGCATGTAAATAATCGAGTCTGGACCAGACAATCCAGTGATTGACATCATGGTATCGATCAACGCATTTGGGATTCGGTGACATGCATCAACCAAGTAAGCGAGCCTGTAACTGACTTATAGCATCCCTGAAGACCCTGCGACCATGATTGTCTGTTTTGTTTACAAGCAGGAGACACTTTTTTAATTATACATATTGTATGAGTGGTGACCGCTACCGGTGAGTGAGTTAAAATTCAACGTCGTATCGGCCTTATTTCAGCCATATAACCAGTAGGGCAGGACATGCTTACCCTTTTTGCGAAACCTAGTGTCATCGCTAGTTTTCAGTGATCCATTTATATAATTTTCACCCTTATTTTGCCTTTTGCGCTCAAAGGAATCTGTTTAGGGGATAATCGAGATTGATTAATCTGTGGCATTGACGTTTTCTACTAAACAATGCTGACAACTTGAATACGCTGATGTTGGCAATGTTGCAACGTTAACTATTGAGTATCGCTTAATTTCAGCGCTTTTCCAACAAGGAAAAGTGCCATCTGTCTTTGTGTTTGTTTGCTTGATGTTTAACTCCACACTCAGCAACATTCCAGCTTTATGATGGCGGCATGTAAATAATCGTGTCTGAACCAGACAATTGATCTCGTTCCCGTTGTCGGGATTGTCTGGCTTTGGTTCATTTTGACACTTTTTGCTTGTTTTTGTAAGTACGACAATGCGACAACGCGGTAATGTCCCTTCTAGGGTTCCATATATTACCGCTCAGTAAAGCTTTTGCAGATAACATACTCTTTTTCATGTTTAGAGGTTTTAATACCTAATGGGGATACAATGATCATGACATGCATCAACCAAGTCAGCGAGCCTGACCACCCGATCCTGTTAGTCGCCTCTTACGACAAGCATAGTCGCCTGTTTACGGTAAAAGCATGGGTTGCTGAATACCTGTTCTACCCCGGATCATCACGGGTCTCTTTTTGTGACCTTCTTTCCCCGCCAAGGTGAGGAATCTTTGATGAATTGCCAGATGATATATAAATTATATTTTAAGCCATTGCCATGCAAGAACTATATTGAAGCTTCATCCCTCTAAAGGACAACTTTTATATGATTTACATTATAATATTTATTATTTATATATAAGAGACTTGACGGATCGTATTTACGGAGACTAAACCATTATAATATGGTAACTCTGCTACTCAATATTCTACTCTGGCTGCTACACGCTCCACAGATAATAAATCATGCATGATCATGTGCATGGATCAATACACCATCCTCAATGGTTCAACTGTTAAAAATATTCTTTATCGTCAGCTATCTGTCTGATACATAAATTATGTAGAAATGGGGATATTTATGCTGTTTGAAAGCAATCAAGAATTTCACAAATATTTCAGAACCAATTTACAAGGGTTTAAGGATTATTTCATAAACGATTTTGTCTGAAAGCAACAAACGCGATCCCACATGGATACAATGTGTGAAGCCCATTTCGGATGTCCGGTCATGATATTGCTGGAATATTGCTAAAAGTGACGTAAACCCCTCACTCAAGAATTCTTTGTCATGCCATAAACGCCGCGATATAACTGGAATAGTGTTAAAAGCGGTGTTAAACCCAACTCACTCACTCACTCACTCATGCCATAGGGAACAGAGTCAAGATATTGGGCTTATAGAGGGAGGAAACCATGGCACACTCCTATATTATAAAAAAAATAATTTCCTCCAAATTGTCGATAAATTATGCCAAATAGATCATTACCAATCAAGGCTGTAGAGATTCTGACACAAAAAAAACTGGTCCACATTCTGATAATTTGTAGAGGTCCTTATAGAGGGTTTCTTGTATAATGAGCAAAGCACAACATTCAAAATCCTTTTTTGCCTGATATGAAAAACTTAAATGGACATAAAGGAAATGAAATATGAAATCGATGTGCAGTTATGTTTCCTTTGAGAGATAGCTCACTTTTATTATAATGAAAGGGGATTTATTACAAATCTTAGGAATGAGATTTGATTCGTTAACCTTCAGGTTCTGTGACGTTATGTCACGACATGGTATCGAGATACAGATAAAGAGACAGTTCAACACGTCATTGTAACCACGGACATCACATGCAACAATACAAGATTCTGTTTTCAAGCCCTAGGATTCGGTGTTGAAATGAAAGCCTTCGATATTGGACTTAAAGTAGGTTTACTAATATGGATGCATATGCAACTCGCTAACTGTAATGGTGTACGTGAAGATGCATGGCTGTTTTATCTTCGTACGAAAAACCATCGAACTTTGAAGTCCGTGAGGCCTTCTTCTTGTAGCTGCGCAGCAGTCTGTGGCTTGAGTGTAGACTGTGTCTCATTCAGTTACGACCTTCAGACACGCGTCTGTCTTTTCAGAAACGCTGTTCTTGGCACAGAGACGGAATATGCAAAGGTAAGTGTTATCTTTATATTGTTTTTTTTTATCAATTCGTCATTATAGTATAGGGGTTCAGATGGTGGCCATTGGCGTAAATATGTGCGCCACTTGACTGCTATGAGCTGTAGTGATCTGTTAGCAACAGCTGTTCCTGTGATTATTTATTTGTTTGTTGTTTATCGCCGCACTCAGCAATATTCCAGCTATATGATGGCGGTCTGTAAATAGTCGAGTTGATTGACATCATGAACAAGCATCAACCAAATCAGCGAGCCTGGCCACCCGATCCCGTTAGTCGCCTCTTACGACAAGCATATTCGCCTTTTACGGCAAGCATGGGTTGCTGAAGACCTATTCTACCCCGGATCTTCACGGGTCAGCTGTTCCTGTGCCCGTGCCTGTATTGGTCAATGTGACGTTATCTCACTAATTATAAGCACCAGTCGTCACTTTTTTCTCCCCACATCAAGCTGAAACAAAAGAATATGAAGCCGCAACATTCAAATAATATGACGGCGGTCTGTAAACAATGCAGTCTGCACCATACAATCCAGTGACTGACATAATGAGCAACGACCAACCCAAGTGCAATACGATGACATGCAATCGACAAAGTCTAATCACCCGATCCATTCTGTCGATTCTTATGTTGTTGTGACTTATATTCTTAACCGGAATCTCCACAGGGGATACAACTGACATGTTGTTCAAAGCATTGTTAAGCCACACCCGCGTGGATTTTGTATTGACCTTTTTCACACTTTCGCCATTTTGGATCGAAAACGAGGCTTGGAGAGCATAGCTCCATGCAGCCTGAGGCGCATCAACTGATAAAGAACAGAGAGCTTGTTGTGATGTCTCCGCCTTCCATTGAAGGACAGAAGATATTGCACATTTAATACTGAGGTCCAACTAAAACATGCTTGTAATGCACTGGGATTCGCATTTTGCTGTCAGGATACCGGAAGTGAATCGAAAGGTGCATTTCGAGATACGTATTTCGGAAATATGTTATTTTCGGCATATGTATACAATGTGATAGCATATTTATTGACAGAAATATTTTTTATCGTAATTCAACTGCATAACACGAAACACGTCCGTGTATTTTGCTAATTTGCTTAGTCAACGCGTGGCTTGGCGAACTCGAGGTCGTCATGTCCATTTCACGTGGTATAGTGGTGTTCGCGGCACCACGCCCTATCGTTTTTTCATGAGTTCAGGTGACATAAGGCACTTTTTCTGCGGTGTAAATGAAAATAGTTTACAACATAGCTCGTGCGTCAAAATAAAGAAGGGGCGATAACTCCATTCAGTATACAATGGCAGAAGAAACTTTACTTTTCCTTCAAACGTCACTGATATAACGAATTAAGACTTCATCGTGTGCGACAAAAGTAAGAATGTGACAAATGTTTGAAGAAATTAAATGAAACCTAACATTAAATTATATAAATATCGCATGAAATAGAAGAAATAGAAGAATTGATACAAAAATCAACTTCTTGAACCCCCTGACCAAATCCTATGATGATAGGGAATTATATACCAAAAGGATGCTACTAATACAATTATCCTGAATTGTGTGAAGTATCTTGATCAGATGTGTGTACAGATAAAATAACAAAATATGAAAAGGAATCAACTTCAATCGGTAAACAAACCCAGATCAAATAAATGTACCGGTACTAATTATGTTCATGGAATGAGATAAAATTAACATAAACTAATCAGTAAATATCAATCCATGTAAAGAGGTTAAAATATGTGATGTGTCATTTATGACATCAAATTGAAGTTGGCTGTTCCTTTTTAACAATATCAGGACCACTATTAATTATTTGTGCAATTTCAGAATGACAACAGAAACCTAATATAAAAAGTAAGGTTGCAATCTGGGTCTGTATTTAAATTTTATTACGCTTCATTTAATAGTGACGAGAATAAATTTAAATTGTCTTCTTACAAACATTTCTATACAGTAAACTCAAGGTGACCGCTAATTTTAGTTCGTAATAACCGTAGTTCGTTATAAGCATATATACAGCATGTGACCGGGACTAAAAAATAAGTTTGTTATATCGGT